CATAAAAATAATGTGTCCTTTAAAAAAGTTACAGTGAAACCTAACAGGAATATATTTTCACTATCCTAAACCTATTTTCTATTAATATGAGTTGTGAATTGAAATTGACATTTATTCACTCCTTGCACTGTTTTCGCACAACATCACTATCACTTTATCTGGATTATATTTATAGATATGCATATATACATACACTCACCGGCCACTTTATTAGGTACACCTGTCCAACTGCTCGTTAACACTTAATTTCTAAGCAGCCAATCACATGGCGGCAACTTAGTGCATTTAGGCATGTAGACATGGTCAAGACAATCTCCTGCAGTTCAAACCGATCATCAGTATGCGGAAGAAAGGTGATTTGAGTGACTTTGAACGTGGCATGATTGTTGGTGCCAGAAGGGCTGGTCTGAGTATTTCAGAAACTGCTGATCTACTGGGATTTTCACGCACAACCATCTCTAGGGTTTACAGAGAATGGTCCGAAAAAGAAAAAACATCCAGTGAGCGGCAGTTCTGTGGGCGGAAATGCCTTGTTGATGCCAGAGGTCAGAGGAGAATGGCCAGACTGGTTCGAGCTGATAGAAGGGCAACAGTGACTCAAATAACCACCCGTTACAACCAAGGTGGGCAGAAGAGCATCTCTGAACGCACAGTACGTCGAACTTTGAGGCAGATGGGCTACAGCAGCAGAAGACCACACCAAGTGCCACTTCTTTAAGCTAAGAACAGGAAACTGAGGCTACAATTTGCACAAGCTCATCGAAATTGGACAATAGAAGATTGGTAAAACGTTGCCTGGTCTGATGAGTCTCGATTTCTGCTGCGACATTCGGATGGTAGGGTCAGAATTTGGCGTCTACAACATGAAAGCATGGATCCATCCTGCCTTGTATCAACGGTTCAGGCTGGTGGTGGTGGTGTCATGGTGTGGGGAATATTTTCTTGGCACTCTTTGGGCCCCTTGGTACCAATTGAGCATCGTTGCAACGCCACAGCCTACCTGAGTATTGTTGCTGACCATGTCCATCCCTTTATGACCACAATGTACCCAACTTCTGATGGCTACTTTCAGCAGGATAATGCGCCATGTCATAAAGCTGGAATCATCTCAGACTGGTTTCTTGAACATGACAATGAGTTCACTGTACTCAAATGGCCTCCACAGTCACCAGATCTCAATCCAATAGAGCATCTTTGGGATGTGGTGGAATGGGAGATTCGCATCATGGATGTGCCGCCGACAAATCTGCGGCAACTGTGTGATGCCATCATGTCAATATGGACCAAACTCCCTGAGGAATGCTTCCAGCACCTTGTTGAATCTATGCCACGAAGAATTGAGGCAGTTCTGAAAGCAAAAGGGGGTCCAACCCGTTACTAGCATGGGGTACCTAATAAAGTGGCCGGTGAGTGTATATATATATATATATATATATATATAAGAGTTATATGTGTATATATTTTTATTTATATCATCTTGTGCGGTTTATTGTGTATATACGTACATATAAAAATTTTTGTATCTGGAGCGTGTAACAAGAGTAATTTCCCTCTTGGATTATTAAAGTATGTCTGATTCTGATTTGTACATAAATACAGCTGTGCTTTTTGTTTTAAATAAGCTGTTATTTTGATATGATGTAAATTTAAAGATTATATGATCATAGTTATCCCTGGTACAAAAATCCACAACAAATAGAAAATATTAGGGCAGAAACTGCACATATGCTTGATGCTGATTGTTTTTTTTTTTAATATGTCATGTTATTAAGCGTTTATTTTGCATGTTTTGCTCCTATGAATTTAAAAATAATATAGCGCATGCTCTTCCCGAGCTCCGAAGAAGTCGGAGCCCAGCAAGACGGGAGGAACAGCTTTAGGCTGTAGGATTTGCTTTGCTCAGGCGGTGATGGAGGATGTGGGATTTTGGGGTAACACAGGGTAGCTGCGTCCAGTGGGCTGTGATAACGAACTTCCTCATCTGTTTTAGAACTGGTGCACTCTGATCCTCATCTATACATTAATCGCATACTCTTTCTAGAATGATAACAGTTTACATGCAACTTTTCCCCCCTCATTCATAAAACGGTAAAATCTGGGATGTCTGGTCACCCTAGGAAACACATAAAATGTATCATTATATTGGTGTTAAAAGCTTTTTAAAATAAAGTGTTTTTTTTAGCTTTATAAACATCAGCTTAATGCATGTCAGCATGGGGTACCATGTGGTTACCATTAGCTTCTTGTTAGCTTGTTTTACACCCAGTAAATACAAAAAAAGTTTTAAAATATTTTTAATGGTTATCTAAGTTAGCCAGACCTGTAATCTCTGTTTATGTAGTAGGAAAGGTAATGCATCTTAAAAGTTCAGGGAAGCTTAGAACGTCATGCTTGAAGCAAGGAAGCTGATACATTTTTCCCTGCAAAATGAAAGCCTCCAGTCTCTGGCAGTCTGAAAGTTTCCTGGAAAATCAGAAAGAAGGTTGCAAAAATTCCCTTTTGCGGAGTTTGATTCTTAGATTACCAACAGGCCCACTTAACTTTGATCAGTATGGAGATTCCGATTAGTGTGGCCTGCATGGCATTCCATTTACAGGGTTCTCTGCACCCGCTTTAGCTTCACCCTCTGGATTATCCTGCCTTCCTACTTCTGCCCGGATCTGATCTCCTGCTTGTTCTCCGTCCTCCAGGGATACAGCATGTGGGACTCTATGATCAGAGCTCGCTGTGTCTAGTCATCATCCGATCAGCTAGAATCAACCACGTTCTCCGGGCACAGACTGAACCAATGAACCAGAGATTGCTGCCCTACACTCCCTGACCACTCATACTGCAGATCCATTTTTCAATACACGCTTTTTGAATAATTATACGGTATGTCTGCCTTGAATACTAGGTCCCCTGTTATGAGCCGTGACACAAAGTTAACTTAATCTAAAATAAGCATGGTAATAATAATTGAAACAGTATGAAAAAGTAATCTTGGTCATCTTTGACCTTTGGTTTCCAAAAGGTTACCATTGACCCCTTGCACAAGAAGGCCAATTGCTAAAGAGGCTGGCTGTTCACAGTCTTGCTCTGATTGTGTAGCTAAAAGAACTAGATTAAGAGAATATCTAAATGTCCTTGCACATGTTTTAAGTTAATTAGCTTATTAGAGTGTGACACCCAGTGTCCATAAATAATAATAATCTTTAGCAGTGCATGTGACCCTTTTCTGGACTTGTGTAGTACAAACCTAGTCAAAATCTGGTAGGCATCTCATTATCCCCTGTGCTGTCCTCAAACCACATGCTAAGTCATGTTGATAAGGAAGTCTCTGATATGGGAGATAAGCAGCACAGAAAGTTTTGCCCAGTATGGACCCTCATATCGAGCATTTCTGAAGGAATGGTGTTGAGGGCTTAGCTTAAGTCCACCATAAGTCACAAGGGATACCATTCTTGATGTACTTTAGAAAGATCTTCTTGAAAGATCAATATACATATATGTGGTGTATAAGAGGAAAGAGTAGATATAAGGTTATGTGTAAAAATGCTAAGGGTTTTTAATACTTTAGCAAGGCATCTGTATTTTAAATGAAAATAAATGCAATACTCTTATATGCATCTATTCTGGTGCTACAACACAGTCTGCCTCGATAGACGGCCGATCACTCTGAGTCTGGTTCTGGTGGAGGTTTTTTCCTGTCAAAAGGAAAGGAGGTGTGAGGGATTGCAGAAGATGCAAAGTGCAAAATGCCAGTGTAAATTGTTGCCACAAGCTCAATGCCATCAACTGGTTTTCCTTAACAGAAACTTAGATCCAATCTGAAAGTATTGTGTCTGTAAAGTCCCTTGAGAGGAAGTGTTGTGAATTGGTTCTATAGAAATAAACTGAATTGAATTTAATTACATGCAGTCTAGTTCTCCGGAGTCCTGCTCATAACCTGATATTCTGATTCAGGGGTGTTGAAGTGGAGACACATCTAAAAGTTTCAGGATACATATCTGACCTCAAGGACCAACACTGAACAAACCTGGTCTGTAGTAGGTGAGTCACATTTAAGGCCTGCGGGTTGAATCCAGGTCACCACAGCAATTTATCCGGCCCTCAAGAGCCAAAAAAAGCATATCATGTCATGAAATAGAGCAATATGTTCTTTTAAAATGTGCAAAGCAGTTAATACTGCTAAATTAAAGAGGTAAAGTTACAATAACATAGCCGTGGGCTCTTTGGAAATTAAATGATAAAATCCAAAATGACATTTATACATCTGCAACTGGCCCTTTTATTGACTGGATGATGCCAAAGTGGCCTGAGTTAAAATTATTTTGACGCTGCTGGTCTTTTTGAAATCCCCAAATCATTTTAAGTGGTTGATATAAAAAAATGAGAGAGATCTACACCGAGAAAAACTACTGATGAAGACTCATGTGAGGTGTGGAACTTTTCTCAGTTTTACAGTGTTTATCAGTAAACAAAAGATAACATGTTTCAAAAGCAAGCCACTCTAGCTAATCTGGCAGGTTAAAAGAGAATTCATTAAATGAAAAATACTCTGATTATATACACTTTCTCAAACACTCTTATCCACCACAATAAAAGAGATGACAGATTTGGAAATACACACATTTACTCAGTTATTTTATTATAAAAAGCAAAAAATATTACAGCATATAGGAAAAATATTACAACTCTTTTTGAATTTCTTTGTACATTTTGACAGATTGTACAATTGCACATTAAGCAGAATTCCTTCAGTAAATGCAAAACACTGCAGAGTTTGATGCAAAAGCTTCATGCTGTGAAACTGTTGTTTTTTTTCACCAGCTCACAAATGTGTGAAGACATTAAAAGAGCTATGAAATCTGAAGTTACAGTATATACCTGCATAGTTAAAAGCTGTTACAAACTGATATTTATGTCCAATGTGCTTTCTGTCTCAGATGTCTAAAGTAGGAGGAAGTGAGGGTACTGAGTGATGCACAGAGATTGCATGTATCAGTATTGCAGTTCAAATACTGATATTAGTACTGTCCTAAAGATTAAATCGCCACACTAACACTGACTGGTTTTTAATCGCTGATTAGACTCTGCAAATATTTAAAGTCAATCAAATATAGTTACATCATGACGATGGTGGAGGTGACAGAGGACCGAGACAGAACCGAACTTCTCCTGAATGAGCTCTCTGTGAAAGTCACTGGACCAGGAGCCCACCTCTTCAGCAGCTGCAGGGCTCGTCTCATAAACTTTTGGCCCACAAAGGCATATATAATTGGGTTCAGGCAGCAGTGAGTGTAGGCAATTGTCTCGGACACCGTAGTTGACAGCTTAATTATTATCTCAAAGCTGCAACTGCCTGTTATTATGTCTTTTTCAAACAGAAACTTCAAGAAACGGGAAATATGATAGGGAGCCCAGAATACGAAGAAGATGGCCATTATGGAGATGATGAGTTTAACAACCCTGTGCCTCTTGACTGTCCTCATCCTGACCAGAGTGGGGATTATCCTCGAGTAGCAAACCACCATCACCAGCATGGGAACCACGAGGCCCAGAATATTTGTTGCCAATAGATCATAGTAGCGCCAGTTTTCTTTTTCCGGGTTGTAGGAACAGGTCACAGATTGGTCATCATCATCTAACTCTGAGAAGATGAAAGTGGGCAGAGATACCAGGATGCTCAGAAACCAAACAATTGCAATCAGAGTATAGCACGCCTTCCTCGTGCGATACTGTGCCACCTTGTGAGAGTACATGATGACCACATAGCGATCCAGTGTCATAATAACCATGAAAAAGATGCTGCTGTAGAATCCAGTGTGATGAGCGAATGAAAGGAAACGGCACATGAGGTCACCTAGGGTCCATTCATTAACCACAACGTATTGGATATAGAATGGAAGAGTCATGATGAAGAGGATGTCAGAGGCGGCGAGGTGTAAAAGACACTTGTCGGTCATGTTAGTCTGGTTACGGTGTTTCATCAGAACACACACAACAAGGCTGTTCCCTGTTAAACAGAAAGACACAACATATTATTTACTTGTATAATTGGTTATTATACGTGTGTCTTTGGAGTCTTTTTTGACATACTTACCTAAGAAGCCCAGGATGAAAACCAAAATATAAATGGTCACCAGAAACTCTCTATAAAATGTTCTGAAATCGTATTCCGGACAAGGATCAAAGCCGTCATTACTGTTCTCATAGTACGATGAATAATCAGGCGTTGTCGAAAAGACATCATCAGTGGTGTCTGTGAAAAGAGATTTGATTATTAAAAAATCCTTCTGGAATGGATCTTTAAAAATGATACAGGTTTTCAAATAAAACAAATAAAAACCTGAAAGTCATTGCATCCAGAGCCACATTTTATTAGAATTATGACTTTGGATCACTTGTAGTTTGTTTCTAGCAGCTTTGCATATCTAAAAAGTGTATTTTTTGCCAACGTCTTTCTGTAAAATAGCTCAGTAAGATTTGATGAAAAGTACCTGTGAATTGTAATATTTAAGTCCTGCAACAAATTCTGAAATGTATGTCTGTAAGATTTCAGTTCTGGTTTTATTGTAGCCTGAATACCTTCTCCAACATGTTTTCTTAGGTAAACGGCAACATAGAAGTGTGACTTTCTATCAAAAATTAATTTCTACTTGTCCCTCCAAAATAAAAGCAAGATTTGTAGAGTGAACAGCTAATGGCTGTTCTGTGAGCAGATACTCTAATCTGAAATATAAATCTTAAAACTTTTGCAGAGCCTGCTTGTTCTCTGATAAATGCTGTCCCTGGTTTACACGACTAATCTAAAACTAAAAAGAGATAAACACATTTTGCAAGGATAGGATTCAGTGCAGTGCTGAGACAAAATGTTTCAGTGACTGTCTCTTAGGTTGCCTCTCTAATTCTGTGTGTAATGTGTGGAATGGACATCACAGATCCTCTTAGTTTTTACAAGCAGACCTCTTTGCAAACAAAACAACACTAGCAGTTGCAGCTGAAGAGAAGGCAGATCCCATATGAGAGTTGTGCTACCTGCTGGTTGTTGGGAGCAGTGCAACTTAATTGAAAGGCAGCAGAAAGTGGAAGGGCAGGCTGCAGGTATTGTCAAAATTTAAAGGACTTTTGGCATCATTATCATTCAGTTTTAAACTATGCTTCAAGGAAATACTCGTCAAACATTCTACAAAACCTTCCACAAACATCTTAATTTGTTTTAAACCAATTTTAATTTTCTTAATGTTTTTCCTTTGTTTTTCTTATAAGTTCTTCTTATATAAGGTGTCCTTTTAAAAAATTACTGGTGACAAAACTTTTTTAAAGGGATTATTAGATATAATCTGTCACTGAGTGTTTTTCCCAAATGACTGGAAACTTCCTATATTACAGCCTTTGATTTAAAAAGTCCAACCTTTATCCAAATGTACGGCAAATCCAAAGCCAATCTTTAACCTGTTTCTTCTTTCAAGAATGTTGGAGAAAATCCTCTATTGGTCTATATTGGACATCTATATTGTTGCGTAACATTTCAGAGGTCTGTCAGTCTGGTTTTAAGCCAAATTAAAGCATAGAATCTGTGCTAATCAGGATTTTTATTCACATTCTTTTAGATACAGATTTTTTGTTATTGTATTCAAGAGCTGCATTTGATATTTGAGTCAGTCTTGGCAATATAAAAGCCTCTTCCATTTCCTTCTCCTGTGGGGTCCCACAAGGCTCACATCTCAGGCCTCTGCTCTTTTCATTATTTTTGCCTTAATTTGGCTCCATTATAAGGGAGAACAAATGTGACTTTTTTATGTGGATGATTGCCAGGTTTATGTTCCCCACAAGAAGAAACCAACTGAAGGTGTGTTGGCTTAGTGGTTAGCGAAGTGCGCTTATGCTCAGAGAAGGTTGCAAGTACCTGGTTTGATCCACACAGCCTGCATACTGGGTTCTTGAGCAAGAACCCACTTTACCCCACACTGCTCCCTGGGCGCCATCAATGTCAGCCCACTACTTCCCAATGGGATGAGTTAAATGCAGAAGTACATTTGCTCAATGTGAGATGAATAAAGTTCATTTTCTTTCTTTCTTTTTTTTTTCCTATGCGATCATTGCTCAGGCGACTTCAAGAAATACAGTACTGGATGACTCATACACCTCTTTATTTTAATGACATAAACAACAAAGCTGTGCTTTTTGTTTTTTTTTTACATTTGAGGTCTATAGAAGGCCGTTCTGTCTTGTATCCAGCCTCTTCAATCTTTTAATTGGTACATGAAAAAGAGTGCATATAGTTCCTTAAGTAGCTGCCTGCTTATTTTAAGGTTCATTTTAAGATATTGTCATTGCCCTAAAACATTTTAATGATCTGCCCCTCCGCCTCTCCTAGCTTTTGCACTTACGTAGCACTTCCCGTTCACTCATGTGGAGCGGATCAGATTTTCCTGGATGTACCGTGGACATAGAACTGCAGAGATGACAGAGATTTCTACCATAGCAGCTACAAAATTTGGGAATATGGTGAATTTCTCAAGTGTGTATTTTTAATTCCCCATGCCCATTTGTTATTATTTTCAATTATGCAACTTTTGTTTTGATACGACATTTTGAGAAGACACATAGGAAGGATGTTTAAAAATGAATATTTAGTAATTTTGTATTATATATTGAAATTTTGAGTTGACACCATTATAACTCTCCAAACGTGATTGACAACATGACTGAATAGAATTGCATTAAAAGTAACTGGATTAATGTTTATTTATTCTTTTCTGAATGGTCTTCATTATACTTGGAAATAAAATTGACATATCTAATCTTGTGTATTCTCTTGCAATCATCTTTATTCATAATAATTACCATTTCAAGTTACTGAATTGACTACAAAGCAAGATTCCTAAAAAAATATGCCACTTATTAATAGAATATTTACAGATAAAATAGAATAATTTTATCTTTATTTTGTAACAATAATATATATACTAAACAAAAAAATAAAACACTACAATAAAGTCATCACGTTAAGCATATGAATCGGTAATCAACAGCACTCTTACATAATGTCAGAAAAAGTTACGCTTTAAATATCTCAAAATCAACCTAAAAATACACAAAGATCTTCAAAAAGATTCAAAAACTCAACTTCAAAAAATCGCCAAAGCTCTTTGCAATCATTTTAAATTTCACTCACTTGACATGGTGATGTCTAGGTGATGATTTTTCAATCAGATAAAGTCCAAATCCGCCTCAGAGAGCTATGATTTCAACGTACTTAGATGAAGAATATAGATGAACTACCAAGGAACCGGCAGAGCCGAAATAATGTCACAAGAGACAGAGAGAAAGAGAAGTGCAGATGTTGTTTCCTGTACGTCCCTACACCAGATCTTTATCTCTATATCTAAGTCTTGGCAGAAAATAGAACAAGATGACTTGTCAAAGAAGTGAGAACATGTGCCAGATACTCACAGATATATCAAAACCTCATTCAGGCATACAATGTATCTGCTAACTTCTATCTAAATGCTGTTCCACATGCAGATGGAGTGATGGAATAAAGTGGGCTTTGTTGTTCCCACAACAAGTAGATATATTAACATTTAAAGAAAGGACAGCCCTTTAATACGAAACATCTTGTTTTTACATGTGCCCAAAGATATATCTATGTATTTGTTGCATTGTTTTCCTGTTATAAATTAATTAGAAGATCATTCTTTGTGTTATTAATACATGTTGACACTGTTTTATGCTTCTGAGAAAAAAGATTGAAACACTGGAAACTGTCCTCATATGTTTGTTCTTCTTTCTATTTTTATAATAATAGCCTTTTGGTATGATTTGCATGCAAATATGGTGTCATTTTCTGACCTCTATGAATCAGTCCAAAGGACATATTGAACTGAAACAAAGATGAGCTTTCAGTTGCCCACATGCATGGCCCCTTTCAAATGAGCAGGTTTTAGGAACAGTTTGTACAGCAGTGTTTTGGCGGCTTGGCTGCTGGTTTGCACATGTTTGACTAGTTCAGTTTAAAAGAACCCACAATCTGTTTTCACTGGATAACACCTACAGGGCTTCTTGTCTGACTGCATTCATCACCATTTTTTTTTTTTTGCTTTGTTAATTTTCTCAGCACGCACAGCCTCCTGTTTTATAACTCAAAATATGTTCTGAATCAGTAGGGAAGAACAACTTCTGCTCCAAACCTTTTTGCATTTGACTCAGGCTTTCAGTTACCAGTCCAAACCGTCAAAAACTGATTAAAGAAAGATCATTTTTGATAGTTTTCATCTGAATGCAGAGTCAGGTGTTGCAACTGACCAAGACCTAGACAGTTGCAACATTGCTTGGCGATGGCTGCAACGTGTTACAATCACAATGCATAACCCATGATAATAAAGGAAATACTGATGGCAAAGCTAACTTATAATGATAAAACAGTATAAGGGGCTGCATGGAGGCACAGTTTTCAGCACTGTTGCCTTGGAGCAACAAAGTCCTGGGTTAAATTCCCGCCTCTGGGTCTTTCTGGATGTAATATGCAGGATATGGATGGATGGATGGATGGATGGATGTGAGTGTTAAACAGTGTTATTTAGCTGTTTTGATCAGATGATAACAGAGATGGGGGATCCGAGGTCAACAAGTCATCTCTATTATTTGTTCTGCTGGCCACTAAACCAGGTGAGTCCAATCTGATTAAACCTGTGCAGACTGGACTCACCTGATTCGGTGAATAGGCAGAACATATACATGACATATAGATGACTTGTTGACTCTAGGTCCCCATCTCTGGATGGTAATCATATATGTTACAACATGTACTATAAGTCAAAGATTCAAAATAAAGGAAGCTCAGTGACAAAAAAAAAGGATGGAACGATTTGTGAGAGAATTTACTTTTATTTAGTCATTTTCAGTACATGCATTTATTAAAAAGAAAACCACAGCTGTAGAAAATACAGTATAATATACTGTATAATTAATATCCCATCATTTGCTGAGGTATATGGCATCAAATTATTGCAACTAGTAATGTTATTACCTCATGTTTATCCAAGTATAAATACAGTATATACATTTTCAATTACTAGGATATTCGCTATACCCTGTAACCTCCTTGTTTCAACCTAATTTACTGTTATATTTGAGTAAAAGTTAATGAACAAATATTGAAGAAAAAAAAAAAAGAAAAAAAAAAAAATATATATATATATATATATATATATATATATACATATATATATATATATATATATATATATATATATA